CCGATTCTTTCTCTCGACAATACCATTCTGCTCTGGTGTGTACGGTGCAGTAAGCTCCCTGTGAATGCCACATTCTTCACAAAAAATATTAAATTCAATAGAATTAAATTCACCACCTTTGTCCGTCCGGAGACATTTGATACGGCTATCTAGCTGATTTTCTACCAAGTTCTTAAATTTCTTGAATGTAACAAGAGCTTCAGATTTACACTTCAAGAAATAAACCCAATTCATACGGCTATAGTCATCAATCAACAATTAAAAATATCGATTACCACCAAATGATTCAGTTTGCATGGGTCCACACAAGTCCGCATGGGTCCACACAAGTCCGCGTGTATCAATTCAAGACAATTATCAGCCCTCCATGATTTTCCTACAGGAAATGATTTCTTACTTTATTTGCCCAAAACGCATCCTTCATAAAACTCAACAGATTCAATCTTGGGTAACCCATTAACCATATTTTGCCGGCTCAAAAACTTCAACCCTTTTTCACGTAAATGCCCATAATGCAAATGCCACAAATTAGATTCATCAATTTTACTAACAGCAAGAGCAGTGTTTTCCACAGAAGCATCTAGTGGAAACATTTTGTTTTGAGTCATTGGAACATTAAAAATGGTATGACCAGTTTTCTTATCTTCAATACAACATGAGTTATCATACAACATGAGTTATCATCAAACACAATTCTATACCCACTAGTCATCAATTGCCCAATACTTAACAAATTATAAGCCAAGCTAGGAGCAAATTGCACATCATTTAAAAGTTTAGTATTACGGTGGCGAGTATTGATGGCAATTGTTCCTTTCCCTTCCACTTGAATCACCTTATCATCACCCAGCCGGGCTGTTGTTTTTTCTTTCTCATCAAGCTCTTTAAATAATTGCTTTGTTCCTGACATGTGATTAGAGCACCCACTATCCAAAAACCAAACAACATTTGCAGCTTTTTTATCAATCGAATGAGCCATGAAAAGCATACTCTCTTCTTCTTCAGCAACATTGGCATGCTTTCCTTCATTTTTTTGCTTTCCTTCATTCCTTTGCTTGGTCCAGCAATCAACTTCTTTGTGGCTGACTTTGTCACAGTAATAACATTTGATTAAATTATCTTTGTATTGTCGTTGTTCTCCAGAACGTCCTCCTCTTCCACGGCTGCCGCCGTGACCTCGACCACGATAACCACCACGAAAATTGCCTCTATTTGAAACTTTGTCATTTGATTTACTATGAGAGGACTCTCCTTTCACTTGAAAAGCTTTTTCTTCAATTTTTGTTGATGATTTATTTATCCTGCCTTCATGAGGTTGCAAAGAACCCATTAAATCATCAAAAGAATAAGTAGATAAATCTTTCAACTCCTCTATTGCAGCAACCACATGATCAAATTTAGGAGACAGACTTCTCAATAATTTTAAAACCACAGTCTCATCAGTAATTTTTTCGCCATATGCTCTCATTTGAGAGATAATTTTAGAAGCCCTTGATAAATATGCTTGAACAGACTCAAAATCACCCATTTGAAGTGTTTCAAATGTTCTACGAAGAGATTGAAGTTTTACAGTGATTACCTTTGAGCAGCCTTGAAATTCATTTTTCAGAATCTGCCATGCTTCATGTTTTCTACGAAGAGAATTGAAGTTTTACAGTGATTTACCTTTTGAGCAGCCTTGAAATTCATTTTTTCAAAGAATCTGCCATGCTTCCATTAGAGGTGGCTGCTGCTGAAATAGAGAGAAAATTCTCATTCCAATACAGCTGTTGAAGGAAGAACAGAGCCTTTGCATGCCTTCTTTTTGTTTTCTCTAAGGCTTTTGCTCTAGTGATTACCTTTGAGCAGCCTTGAAATTCATTTTTCAGAATCTGCCATGCTTCCTTAGAGGTGGCTGCTGCTGAAATATGAGAGAAAATCTCATCCAATACAGCTTGTTGAAGGAAGAACAGAGCCTTTGCATCCTTCTTTTTGTTTTCTCTAAGCTTTTGCTCATCATCGGGGTCTTCACTCCCATTCTCAACTAGCTCCCACAATTCTTGCGAAATAAACATAGTTCGCATTTTTATGACCCAAAATTCATAACTCTCACCCTTGAAGAGAGGAATTAAGGGTTGAGTTGAAGTAGCAGTGCCATTTACTGCCATTTGAAAGGTTTGCGTGAACCACTCTTCTTTCCCCCACTTTTGTTTTTTATTTTTTTTTTTATTCTCTCCTCTACCTGCCCAAAAAATGGCTCTGATACCAAAAATATGTTGGTGAATTGAGATAATTAAGAAACCTAAAGGGCAGAAGAGAAAGTGAAGCTGTATATTTGCGTATTAATGAAGAAGAGAACAGAGCCTTTATAGGCATTAAATAACAACTGAACAGAAAAAATAGCCTAAAAAATCTGCAACTAATCTATAGCAGATAATCTTTTATTTGCCACTACTAACGGTAACATAAATCCAGGAACTAAAGGCTCCACTAACTTAATTTTGAATCAAATCTTAACAATATTAAGGGTCTCTGTTTACATGGGCTCAACTCCAAAATGGTCAGGTGACGGTGCAGGAGAGGCTGTATTGGAGTTTTCTCAATAAAGGTTTCAACGTTTTGTTTCAAGAATTGAATAGCCGAACGTTAGTTACACCCATGTCAGATCATAAACCAATCTTGTTTGACACATGTGCTGTAGAAGGGGCTGTGTTGCACCATTTTTTTCGGTTTGATAATGCGTGGCTGTTGGAGGATGATATTGCGGAGGTTGTGAAATGCGACTAGACTGGGGGTGCGACAAATTCAATTTTAGAGAGACGGGACAATTGTATTCGAGCTTTGACGAGCTGGGGTCGAACCAGGGATAGAGATCTTCAGCTTCGTAAAAATCTGATGAGTCAGGTTCTTGAGGAACGATAGTATTTTATGCTTAATGCAGAATATAGTGCTCTAAGGTCCGAGTGGAATGGCATTTTAGAAAGGGAAGACATCCGGCAAAGACAGCAATCTAAGGTGTTTTGGTTGCAAAAGGGAGATAGTAATTCCAAATTTTTTCATAACTATATTAAAGGGAGGAGAAAGAATAATGCTATTGGCAGTTTACGTGATGTAAGGGATGTTTGGGTTACTGAACCTGAAGCCATGCATACCATTATTAAAATTATTTCTCTAATCTATATCAAGCTTATGAGGGTGACACAAGATGGGTCCTTTGGCTAGTAAGAAAACAGGTCTCTATCGCAGATAATGATTTTCTTTTAGCTCCTTTTTCGGATGATGAATTTAGAGACGCGGCTTTTCAGATGCATCTTGATAAAACTCTGGGACCTAACAGTCTCAATCCGGTATTTTATAAAAAATTTTGGCATGTGGTGGGGAAAGATATTTCTGACAGTTGTAGGCACTGGCTTAAAAACAAGTATTTTTTCGAAATCTCTTACTGATATTATGATAATTTTAATCCCAAAGTTAGCAGGCCCTGAATCACTTAAGGATTTTCACCCCATAGCATTATGCAATGTTCTCTATAAAATAATTTCTAAAACCTTGGCTAATAGGTTGAAAAGGGTGTTAACACAGGTTATTTCTAATAGCCAATCAGCATGTTCTGGGTCGGTTAATTCAGGACAACATCTTAGTGGCCTTTGAAATTTACATAATATGAAGTGAGAAACTAGAGGAGGCTCCGGGGTAGCAGCTTTAAAAACTGATATTTCTAAGGCCTATTATCGGGTTAGTTGGAACTTCCTTAGGGATATGCTGAGGGGTCTGGACTTTTAGGAAAAATAGGTAGAATGGATGATGCTTTGTGTCACGAGTGTAAAATATTTTGTGTTGTGTAATGGTGTGCCTGTGGGTCCTATTATTCTTGAACAGGGGCTTCGACTGGGAGATCCTCTTTCTCTTTATTTATATATTATGTTATCTTTACTCTTTACTGAAGCTGAGCGCAGGGGATGGATCCATGGGTGTAGGGCTATGGAAAGGGAGAGTCTGAGGATAAAAGGGATTTTGGTAAATTATGCCAAAGCTTCGGGTCAGGAAGTAAATTATAGTAAATCGGGGATTATGTTTAGTCCGAATGTTTCGAGTGCAGGTAGGGAGGTGGTGTCCAATTCTTTGGGTGTTCTGAATCCTCTTAGGATGGGAAGATACTTAGGCCTTCCTTCTCTGGGAGGGGCAAATAAGAGCTCTTCCCTCTCTGGAGTAGAATAAATTCTTTTGGAATAATAAATTTCTCTCACGAGCAAGCAAAGAAATTCTTTTTAAATCTGTGGCTCAAGCTCTTCCCTCTTTTTGTATGAGTGTTTTTAAACTCCATTTATCTCTCTGTGAAGAGCTTCAAAAAATTGTTAATGCTTTTTGGAGGGATTCTAAAGGAGGTAATTGTCGTAGTATAAATTGGTATACTTGGAATAGGATGTGTTAGAGCAAAAGAGATGGAGGTATGGGGTTTAGAGATTTCTATTGTTTCAATTTAGCCATGTTAGGTAAGCAAGGGTGGCGGTTGTTGTCTGCACCCAACACTCTTCTTTACTGAACTCTCAAAGCTAAATACTTTCCGGAGGGATTTTTTGAGTGCTACACTAGGACGTAACCCAAGTTTTACTTGGAGGAGTGTGTCTTGTTATTGAAGGATGTGTTAAAAAAAGAATAAGATGGAGAGTTGGTAAGGGGGAAAATTATTATTGGAACCGATCCTTGGATCCCCAAGGAGGATTTTTTTTTTTTTGTTGAAGATGCATCCTTCTTTATTGAGCCTTGGTTGAGAGTGAGGGACTTAATCCAAGAAATGGGAGGAATTGGGATTTTGACAAGATCGTTGACAGGTTTAGTGTGCGTGTGCGAGAGCTATTCTTAACATACCTTTGAGAATTAATAATCAAGAGGATAGGTTGATTTGGCACTATGATAAGAAAGGAGTGTATAGTGTTAAATCGGGGTATTATTTAACTTTAAAAATTTTTAGGCGAGGTGGTGAGTATCTTGTTGGTGAGCATTGGAGAAAAATTTGGAGTATGGATATTTACCCAAAAATCAAAAATCTGTTGTGGCGTGTTTGTAGGGGGTATTCTCCCTACTCGGTAAAACTTCGAGAGCGAGGGGTGGATGTGGAAAGGGGTTGTGGTTTGTGTAGAAGGGAGGAAACTATAGACCATGTCTTGAGGGATTATAGTAAAGCCAGGGAGGTTTGGAGACAAAGTGGCCTTGGTGTAGCTTTGTATGGTGATACCTTTAATAATATTTTGCTGCAGATCCTCAAGTCGTTAGAAACTGATAAAGTTCAACTTTTTTGCTGTATTGTTTGGGCCTTGTGGTCAGCTCGGAATGCATTGCTGTGGGAACGGAAAGAACAAACGACTCAACAGGTGTTGGGTAATGCTGTGTGCATGATTCGAGATTGGAGGGACTGCTCTGTTTCTAATAGTTCATATGCTGCGTCTATTCCTTCACAACGAGTTGCTTCTTTGCCAACATGGGGATCTTCAGATATTGCAGGTTGGTAAGCTTCTCGGATGGAGCAGTCTTTGAAGATTTGCACATGGCAAGTTTTGGGTTTGTATTTGAAGCTGAGGGCCAGTTTAGAAAGGCCATCTTCAGTGTGCTGGACTGTTACAATAATCCGACGATTGTTGAAGCTTTAGCTCTCTGTTTCTGTTTGGAGTGGGCCTCTGAAAATCTGTTCTCTCGCGGTTGTGTTTGCATAGATTGTCAACTCATTCTTTGTGCCTTAAACTCAAAAGGTTCCGGTTTTTTCTGAGTTTGGTGTGATTATTAATGATTGTAAGGCTTTGCTTTTGTCTAGAGCTAATATTGCTGTTAGATGGTGTAGGAGAGAAGCTAATGAAGGAGCCCATTCTCTTGCTCGGGTTTCCTTTCATCATGCTAGTTTTAAAGTTTGGGAGGCTATCCCAGACTGTTTGTTATCCTTTTATGAGTTTTAGTGCAAAGGTTTAATGTTTGCTTCAAAAAAAAAAAAAAAATTGAAAATTCTTAAATTATCTTTTTTTGATTGAATCTGACCATATATGCCTTCCTGTTATATGTTTCAAATCTAATAATTGTTACTATATCTTTCTAATAATTCATAATAATAAATACATCCTTCTTACTCAAAGAGTTCTGAAAATAATCAAAAATTTCAGTACTTAATATTAACACTTAAATATCCTGAATAAAATATTAAAAATTTAAAAATTGATGCACATTTCCATGTCACACTAAATGATTATTAGTTATAAAAAAATCATAATTTGTTAGAAATAAATGTGAATTGAATCATTGTAAAAGGGGAAAAACTTGTAAAAGAAATGATATTAGTTATAAAAAAAAAATCATAGTTTGTTAGAAATAAATGTGAATTGAATGAATCATTGGAAAGGGGAAAAACTTGTAAAAGAATACTAATATTTTTATACTCGATCTAGGGGATTTGAAAGTTTTAAAATTAAGTTTGAAATAATAGGATTTGGTCTAATTTTTAAAATTTTTTGAAGTAAATAAATTAATTTATTCAAATATAATTATATCACATTTAACAACTACTTTTTTGGAACATGAGTTCATTATTAGAATCATTTAAAATGAATAAAAAAAAATAAACTCTAAATTTTAACTCAAAAAAAATATCATTCAATATATATATATATATAAGGTTTTCTAAAAATTATTTAACTTATTCTCAAGAAGTATCAAATTTTCTAATAACAAAATACTAATTAAGTTAAATGATTAAATTTAATTTATAGGTATAAGTAATAATGTTATTATATAATATGTAAATAAATGTGATTTTACAATTTGCTTTGATTTCTTTTAAAAAGAAACTTACCAAAGTGCAAATTATTTTTCATATAAATAATCCTTTAACTCCAGATGGTATTTTTATCTTATGAATATATTTATACATAAAGGAATAGTTATATTTTGTACCTAAATAGAAGTAACATGTGTTTTTGTACCTTTAGGAAGGAAAAGAATAACCAAAAGGATGAGAAAATTTTGAAAGCTCCCTCCCTTTATCTTTTTTTTTTTCTTCCTACTATTCAAGTGATGTGAATTGAAAATCTACTATGATCAAGTGATTGGTTAGAGCTATACATAGAACATTTTTTTCCCTTCAGTTATTAAAAAATTTTGAAATTTAAAAATTTAAAATATTGAAAGCTTAAAGAAGTTAGAGGGTTGTTTGGTTCATTGATTCGAACACAATAGCTAGATTGTCGGTATTTGGTAAGTTTTTAATCGACCGTTGGTACATAGCTAATTTTCATTTATATTATATTTGAATTTTATTCAACAATTATTAATAAAATTAATTTTTCCAATTTAATATTTTTTATAATATTTTATTTATGATCATTTCAAATAATAAATTTTCAATAAATATTAATTTTCCAAAGTTTCATTAGTATTTTTATTTATATATAAAAAAGTATATTCACCATAAAAATTAAAATATATATACACACACTGTATCATAATATATAAAAACGATTAGACATTCAATAATCATTTTAGATTTTTAACAACAATCACTGCTAAAACTTTACCAAATGTCATCATTCATCAATCATCCGCTATCGGTCATCATTCACTACCTATCAGTCACTAGCTAGTAGTTATCAGTAATCACTATCAGCTATTAGCTAGTATGAAATATAAATCAAAGTTGGTTGTTAATTATTTTTAATTAATTGAGGCGTGATATTGTCTCACAAATTTTACAAATTTATAATACCATTAAATTTTGTTTCTAATCCATTTATCATTCTATTTCTATTATTTCCCTTTGAAATTTAGCAACGAAAAAGATGTCCATCTGTTTCTAAGTTCACTATAAGACTTTTAAGTTCTATACAATTGTTAATCTGATTATTTCGATTCTATTTTTTTCTTTTTTTTTATTAATTATTGAAATTGATAGATTCCATAATTTTTGTACGTGTCTTTTATAATTTATTTAAGACCTAATTATATTTTATGGACCGGTAAATATATTTTACATAAATCATGATAGAATAAACAAAGACTATATATATATAGCTGCTCACACTCTACAAAGCGCTTTAGAGATTACTTGCCTCGTGATTAGCGAGCGATTTGAGTGCCTAGTGCAAAGAGGAACGAAGCCCTATAGTGGGAAGGGGGAGACGCGCCACATTCCTGCTTAGCGTCGGGTTTTTGCCTGTCATGCTATGCTAGTTTAAAAAAAAAGTTTTGGGTGGAGGGCCTGGGTAGCTCCCAACTTAGAGAGCTGCGAGAGCGTTGTGGTATCCCCTTTTAATTCCAACTGACCATAGCTTTTTAGCGCTCGCTGGCAACAGGTTTGAATGAGTATAGTCACTATCAAGAAAAAAAAAAAAAAAAACAATTTAAGTTGCCGAAAAAAAGTGTTGCCCTAAATTGGGAAAATTAATTTCTTTTTTCTCTATGATTGGTTCTTGAAGATTTAACTGGACTTCATCGACTCATGGCCTATCCTGTGCCATATTTACATGCGTCTCTCCCCAAAATCTTTAATAATTGGGTTAACTAAATAATCTTTATTCTTAATTTAATTCATAAAATTTCAACTGAAATATTACACCGCATATCTCTTTCTTATCGTTCAAAGGAGCTTTTTGGAAAAAAATAAAATCAATGAAGAGGAGCTTATTTTCACAGCAAAGAAAACATTATTAATTTCAATTAAAGAACAAACTTGTATTTAAATTGATCCTGGAATAAAATAATGTGTTGGCACTAATATAAAGGCCACGTAGGTATATAACGAAGTTGGCGATGCGGACATAGGATTGGCGCAGTGGTGCGATACTAAACTTGATATAAATTGAATTATATAGTTTTATTAGAAAAAAAATCGAAATAAATTTGGTTAGAGAAACCCCACTTTGATCAATGGGTGGAATGTGGGAGGTAAAAAAATCTCATGGGTGTGTAAAAAAGAAAGTGGAGAATTGAATCACAAAGACTTGTTAAAAGAAATGAGTGATTAGTTATAAAAAGATTAAACGCAAAAAAACTGTATCATTTTTTATGTGCTGTTGTATAAGAGAGGGCAGACAGGAATAAAAGTAAAGAATTGTGAGCCAAATTATGTGGAAAATTATGGGAGTTGTAGCATGAATCCACTATGAGCGGAAAGCGAGCGTCACAGCAAGGAAAAAAACTTAAGTGAAAAAGAATTACTTAAGTGCACTGATTTTATTATACTACTGGAGCACTGACTAGGAGGATTGTGAAAAAAATGTTCCTCTCTAACGAAAATGTAGCAGGTTTGGGTGTAAAAATAATAAGAGATGTGGAGAGTATCTTCAATGTATATTTTAAAATTGATTATTATGATTTTAGAGTAAAAAATAAATAGTTTTAATGATCGTCACTTAGCATAATTAGTAGAACCTTAAATATCGCGACAGGTTTTTTTAGAACAGAACTTTACTTTTTTGGAGACGATGAGTTACAGTGTGATCTCCTAGTGTAAATCATATATAAATCATATTTTGATGCGAATAAAAATATGATTAATTGAAACCTTCCAATATATGATGTTTGTTAAATTCTCGAAAAAAAGTAATTAATTCATTCGATAAGGGGAATGATAGCTATACTACTAATTGAGTTAAGGTGTTCGTAGAGAGTGAGAAGATATATCTGAGACTTCGGCCGTCTTGATTTATCTTTCGCCATTGGGCCAAGGAGGGATAAAGCCGAGCCGAGGCGTGTGAGTTCAAAATTTGGGTAAATTTTTCTTGAATAATCAATCACTATATTTATTGCTAATTTTCTCGATCTATAAGTTTTAAATGGTCTGACTCCTCATACAAATATTTTGTAATATTTTATTAGAGTTGATAACAGTCTTATTCAAACAGTTAAGTTTAAGTCGGTTCATTAAAATATACAGTTTTATGTTAAAAAGAATGTAAAAGGTTGTGGATATTTGGACTTTACTATTTGCTTTTGATTTGTCCTTTTAGGAATTAAGAACGGAAGAAAACTTTTTACCCAAAGTTGCTCAAATATTTTTCATATGAAAATGCAATCCCCTTTAAGACATCCAGATGGGTGGTTACTTGTTTATATCTGGGCTGTATGAAGCATTTTTCATTATATATTATAACGATTTTAAAAGGCGATTTAGGTCAGTGGATTATATATTTTGGGTCTGTATGCCCCTTAAAATAGACGAAGGCGTAGGCCCCGGAGGCGCCGGCAGTTGTAACCAATAGTGTTTTGTGTACCTTTAGGAAGGGAAAAGAATAACAAGGCCAAGGATGAGGGAAGAAATTTTGTATTTGAATTAAAGCTCCCTATGCGCCGTTTAATTCGTTGATTGGGTCTTTCTTTGTTTTCTTCTGCTTCCTTATTCTTATAGGTGGCACGAGTGAGTGGAACCCGTAATGGCACATGGTGAAATCTTACTATGATCAAGTGATTGGTTTTTTTAGAGCTATACATAAGAACATTTTTTTCCCTTTCAGTTATTAAAAAAATTTTTGAAATTTTAAAAAATTTAAAATATTGAAAAAGCTTAAGAAGTTAGCAGGGTTGGGTTTTTGGCTTCGATTTGATTCGGAACACAATAAGCTAGATATTTCGGGGTCGAGTCCCGATGAGGCGGGAATATTTTTATACATTCGGTAGTTTTTCTAGAATCGAAGCCGTTGTTGGTTATCCCATAAAGGCTCATAATCTATTCTATTGCTATATTCACTTTATGGTTAGGAATTTTTATTGTCAAAAACTATTCGAAATTAAGATTAAAGCAACTTCATGATCTCCCTTGTTTCCAATTTGTAGATCACTCTCCCTATAAATTCATTTATTGTGCTCACAATTAAATATTTTTTTATATTCATAGTATTCATTCATAATCTAAGATTTATAATTGTTTGCACAATTAAAAAACTTATTTACATGATATATCTCTTACTCAATTAGTGCGTGTTCATTTCAGTTAATCTCTATTGTAATATGATATTATTAAAAAACTAATGAAATATGCTATCATATGTCAAACCAAATTATAAAAAAAATTAAAAAAGATATTATCAGGTACACACACTGTATCATATTGAAGTATACTAATAAAACCGATTTCTTAGTAGCCATTTACGCAAAATAATCATCTTTGACAATAGAGAATTAATTTATAACAACTTAATCAGCTATTGACCTAAACATAAAAACTTTACACCCTTTATTATTAGAGAGTTGTTTTATTTTCGAGTCATTTCATACAAATCATGCCACAATATAAAAAAGGAGATATAGCTGTTACATCACTTTGTTGTCAATTTCGATCGTTATCGAATTTATTGAGTATGCCTATCAGTCACTAGCCTTTAGGATGGTTAGATTATTTCAAGGAATCAATTACTTATCGGCGTTATTTAATTGTTCTAGTATGAAATATGTAATAATGTCACAAAGTTATTGTTTTAGTGTTTTGGTCCGATGGTCTTAACCGGTCTGTTAATATTAATAATCTATTTTCAATATAAACTCTGTATATTGGTGCACGTTTCCTTCGAAAAACATGATTACATTTTTTAATGCCTCTTTCTTCGTCAATATTAACATCAACTTTTGAGGCCTTCGTTTTTATTTTGAATGGTCCGTCACTCAACAAATGTTATTTTCATGCAAACAGATGTTATTAATATGATCACCCATTAAAGAAAGTTGGTGAGAGGTGGTTTCTAAATAACTGCCGATTTTTATACATCCATTTACTTATTTTTTCTAATTTATTTTTATTCAAACTGTCTCTGTTTTGGGAGAACACTTTTTTGTAAGTGCACTTATAATCTGTGTATTAGAAAATGGATGTCCAACTCTTGTTTCTAGGTATTGTTACTACTTTAGTTAAACAGGATGACTTTTTGTTAAGGTGTACTTCCTGAGTACACAATTGTTAAATCGTTGGATTTTATTTTTTGCTTGAGATTCTATTTATTTTCTTTTTATTTTTTATATTATATAAGTGTATTGGATAGAACTGAATGGTAGGAGTGATCCATAATTGTTGTACGTGTTCTTTTGAATAATTTAATTTAAAAACCTAATTATATGGTTCCTAATGGGTACCTATCAGGTTTAAATAATTAGTGATTTCTACATAAAATCATGAGGTAGAATAAAACAAGAAGGAGCCGGGACTATTAAAATAGCTATATACGGGTATATATATATAGTACAGTATATATGATGTTTGGGGTGATTTTTTGTTGTATAAATTAGTTCTAAAATCTGACTCGAGTACTCGAATAAAATGCACAATTTGGTTCGTATCCAGGCTTGTAAATCATATATATGTTTGGGGTTTTTAATTGTAAATCTATCAGAAATAAATGCAATATAGTAATTACAAGACAAATTTCACATTTTTTTAGACAAAATATATATCATACCAAATCATATGAGTACTTGTAATATGCATATTGCCATAACAAACAAGATTTCCCTATTCTATGTATATGGTATGACATTTAAGAGACGTATACAATGACTCATTTTCTATTTTTATCAAATCTCCTAAAATATTCTAAATCTATCAAAGCTAAATATAATATAGTAATTACAGATAAATTTTGTAATTTTTTAGACAAACTTTCCATGGATAACTTGTCAAACCATATTATATTGAAATACGTGTATTGTCCCATCATATAAGATTTTAGGTATTTGAACCCGGGATCACCTAATTTGATTCAGGGCTTAATCATAGTTAAAGATTTTCGCCCTCCCTGCAACTGCATTTAATGGGAACTGAATTCAAGAGCTCTTTTCACTTTTGATTCGGGACTTACTCACAGTTAAAACTTTTCGTCCCCCTACAATTGTATTCAGTAGGGGTCAAACTCGAGAGCTCTTCCCACATGCTCAATCTGCATTTACACCTGAGCCCCAATATTTTTATATGAAAATAAAGTCTAATTTGCCTTGTTAACTTTATTATTTAGAAACGAAAAGCTACACAATTCCCGAAAGTGATAATACAATTGCTGATTTAGCCACTTCAAATTTAATATAAGTTTTATGTTTATTCTAAAAAAAAAAAAAAAAAAAAAAAAAAAAAAAAAAAAAAAAAAAAAAAAAAAAAAAACTACATAATTGACCTTTTGATTCAATTTACCCCTTAAATTTGTAATTACTCAATTGCCTTGAAAAACTTAAATTCAATGGCCTCTGAGCAAATTGCTCATGAATTATAAATTGGAGGGATATATTAGACCAAAGTATCAAATTTTTGTTCCTGAATAACAAATTGAAGGATTATATTGAGTTTTACTCCTTTTTATATGTGTAAAGTATAAATTGTCCAGCTTAGAGTAACTTGAAATGATCTTTTTAAAATTAAATTGTTAATAACTGATTGTAAAATTCTCAAATTCATTTTAAACTATTTTTAGATATAAGATTAAATTAAATCAAAATAAAATAATAGAGTTCGATTTAAGTTTTTAAAATAGCTGAAGCAAGTAAGATAATAAATTTAAGTGTATAAAAAATCTATTATAATTATCAAGTTATAGTATTTTTTTTCTTTAAGTTGGACATTGCTTTTTATTCGAGGACAAGAGTCCATTATTACAATCATTTAACACAAATAAAAAATCTAATTCTAAATTTTCACTTAAAAGAATATATCCCTAAAAACCTCAAAATAAATATCATTTGATATGTTCACAGGGTATATTGAAAATTAGTGAACATATTCTCAATAAAGATATATATTTTTTAATAATATAACACTAATTAATTAAATACATACACGTATATAAATATTTCATCTATTTCATAATAATAAAATCATTTTTCTTTTTTATTTGCTCAAGTTATTGTCTTATTTATGATTTTAGAAGAGATAATATCCACAAATTCTTATTTTTATACTTATTTATTGAATCTTTACTGTCAAATCACTCTAATAATTTAATATAATCAAATTTTGAAATGGATAATTGATTAAGACATTCATCCTTTATGTTCCTTATATATATAGATATATTGATTAAGACATTCATCCTTTATGTTTCCTGTATATATATATATATATAATATATATATATATTTATATATAAGAGGAGTATTTAATATTTAGTGATAAATAGAGTCCTAACTCGGCTGCTGTTTAGTAATAGATTAATGGTGAGAAAATCATTAAGATTGGAGTAACATAAAGGTTGATTTACAGAATTACTTCATGAATCACACTTCACAACCTTAACTAAATAAAATGGAGGGAGACAATAAAATTGAAATATAAACTTAAACGTTGAGACAACTTAATAATCCAAATAGTATTTTTTTTTTATTAGAGATTTTTATGGACTGAAATAATATTGTGGGCTACACATCAGGAGATAGCTATTCCCTTGACTTACTAAATTAGTGAAAACAACCGTGGTCACATAAGTCACAAGACCAACCAGACCACTGCTTGATTGACAATCCGGATAGTATTTTTATTTTTTTTAAAAGACAATTATATAGAGTAATTTTATTCCTTTATTAGATATTTGGAAAATTATTTTTCCAAATTGGAACAAACTAAAACCCAAACCTTAATTTACCGTTCACCCCATTTAATACTCTTTCTGTACCATACCAGACAATCGCCCGACTCGTTAAATTGAGTCACATGCGACTCACTTTTGACGACCCCATTGCCTTAGCCATTTCTCTAAGCACAAACTTCTGAATCTTACCCGTCGACGTTTTTGGCAATTCGTCTTTAATCACCACAGTTTTTGGCACCATGTAATGTGGCAATTTAGCTCTGCAATAATCAATTATATCCTTTTCTGTTATGATTGACTCGCCTTTCTTCAAACTAACAAACGCACATGGCGTCTCGCCCCAATACTCGTCCGGTCGAGCCACAACTGCTGCTTCGTTGATTAAGGGGTTCGTATATAAAACTGACTCAACTTCAACGCTGCTTAAATTCTCTCCGCCGCTAATAATAACATCCTTGGATCTATCTTTAATTTCTACATAACCATCTGGATGCATTACAGCGACGTCGCCGGTGTAAAACCAGCCGTTCTCTTTCATACACTTTGATGTGCTGGCCGGATCTTTCAGATAACCTAACATGAGTGACCCACCTCGTAAAACGATTTCTCCGAGTGATAACCCGTCTCGTTTCACACTCGTTCCTGACTCAGTATCTACCACGTCTACTTCCGTCATACCAATCGTTCTTACTCCTTGTCTTGCTTTTAGCTTAGCTCTTTCTGTTGCTGGGAAAATATTCCACTTCTTTTTCCAGGCACAGGAGATAATGATTCCACCGGTTTCGGTTAAACCGTAGCCGTGACTCACTTTGAAACCTAATGACTCAGTCCGGAGGAGAATTGCCGCCGGAGGTGGAGCTCCCGCCGTGAGGATGTGGACTGGGTTTTGTAATGGAGTTTGACTTTCGATTGGAGAGTTGGCTAACATGTTGAGCACCACAGGTGCACCGCACATGTGAGTCACGTGGTGGTCATTTATCAACCGGTAGACTGTAGGCCCGTCGAATTTACGAAGGCAGACGTTGGTCCCACCTACTGCCGCCATACCCCACGGGTAGCTCCATCCATTTGAGTGAAACATCGGTAGGGTCCACAGGAAGACCGGTTGTTTAGGAATGGACCAGTCAACGAGAGAGTCGACGGTGATGATGAACGAACCTCTATGGCAATGAACTACACCTTTCGGAGACGACGTCGTACCCGAAGTGTAGTTCAATACTATTGGATCCCATTCACTCTTTGGCCGGACCCACCTGAAGTATGGATGACCATTACTCAGCAAGTTCTCGTAAGTATCGGTGAAGTCAACGGCTGTTGATGCTTTGAGAGATTCTGAGACCTCATCGTCAGTAATAAGGACGAGAATTGGTGGTTTAACATTTGGTGGAAAAAGAGAGATGGCTTCAAGGATTAAAGACTTGGACAAAATATCAACAAAGAGGAGCTTCGTTTCGCTGTGACGGAGGAGTACAGAGACTGTGCGGGCATCAAGACGAGTATTAATGGTGTTGAGTATAGCGCCGGCCATTGGGACGGCGAAGTGGAGTTCGTACATGGCGGGAATGTTGGGGGCCATGACGGAGATGACGTGGCCACGGTTGATGCCGATGGATGAGAGAGATGAAGCGAGTTGAAGACATCGACGGTGGGTTTGAGACCAAGTGTAAGCGGTGGAGTTGTAGATGATGGATGTAGAATCACCGTAGACGGTGGCCGCTCTTTCAAGAAAAGTAAGTGGTGTTAAAGGAGGTGAGTTTGCTTTGTTTGGATTTAGGTCTTCCATTGTTGGTGTTGGCTGTGTGTAGGACCAGAAGAGAGTATTTATGGTACTGGAGCAAACTGCTGAGGCGTTTTACTATTTATAAAAAGAAGTCAAGTCAATAAAGACAAAACATCCGTTTTGGATAAAAAAAATGTGAAATAAAATGTATTATTTCATTGAACCTTCGGGGAACCGCCGGTTCATTGAACCTTCGCTATTTTTAAAATATTAAATTTAAATCAGTTTTTGAATTGTCAGTTTTAATTTAGTTTTGGTTCCAGCCGATTTTAGTGAGGTTCTGATGAATTGATGGTTCCGAATATGATTTTTGGCGATATATTTAAAAAAAATAATCGATTCTAACATTATATTTTTCTTTTGAAAATATTAATATGAGTTTAAAAAATATTGGTAAATTTTATTTTAAATAAATTTTAGAATCCTCATACTCATTTAAGAATAAAATTAATTAATTTTACAAATAATCAAATAAATTATCACTTTATTTTGTTTAAACGTTATTAATTAAATAAATTACAAGAAAATTTTGAAAAATTCTCAAAAGAATGTAATTTTAAACTTAGTAAAATAAACACAAGAAAATTTTGAAAATTCTCAAAGATGTAATTTTAAACCGTTAGTAAACATTTAAAGGTGAAAAAAAAATTAAACAATATAAGTTTAGACTAAATATTTCTCTTTTTTTTCCAAAAACCATTTTAGTTTTTAGGATTTTTTTAAACTTTTAAAACGTAACAGTGTATTTAAAAAAAAAACTAAATAAAGTATATCATGTAGTAAAATATATTGAGACTTTTAGAGATGTAAAATAGGTTAAGTGATTTATTATTTTTGAAGAATAAAAATAGAAAATTTTTGGGTTTTCATGTAGTAAAATATTATTGAGACTTTTAGAGATGTATAAAATAGGTTAAGTGATTATTATTTTGAAAATAAAAATAGAAAATTTTTGGTTTGAACCAGACCGAAAAAGCCGTTAACCGCCGGTTCTAGTTCAAAACTTTGAACCTCGGTTCCAGTTTGATTTTGATTCATCTACAGTACGGTTCGGTTCTGATTCAGTTCCGTTCAAAATGAACTGGTGGCTATACCTACTTTTAACGCAGTTGATTGCTATCATCAATTCTATCAGTTTAACAAGCGACGTCGTCTCGGATATGATAGTAGTAAATGCTAAATGAAGTAGTAACAGTTTTTTCGGCCTTAACCAAAGGTAAACTTAGCCCATTGACCCACTAAATGGTAAAGTGCTTCCAATAAGTATTTGCTCTATTCATGAGGATATAAATGAGAAAAGAACCAAACCGCTCATCCCAATACTTGTTGGTAATAACTTCCTATTATTCTACTTACAGTGAGTATAATATTTTAACAAACGTATTTTTCTTAAATGAAATTCTCTTTATGTCAAAATATAAATCGTTTAAGGTTTTTACACAAGGATTAAAAAATAATTAATTCTTTTAAATTATAATAAAACTAAAATTAATTTGACTAAATTATCTCTCATCTCAAAACAAATAGTTACTTCTGAAGGTAGTTATTATACAAGAATAACATTTGAAAAAACATCATTAATTACTTTTTAAAATAATCAAAACGGATAAGAGGAAGTAATAACTTTTTATTATTGTAATTTAATATTTTAACTTGACGTATAATCGTTTTTGTAATGCAGGCATGGATGGGGAGCCCTAGAAACTAATTTGCATATTATTAGAGAATGTGTTGGAAGCAAGGTACAATCTGATCAAAATTAATTTTTTTTTACGATTTACCATGGAAACTTGCATCAAAAGAAGAAAAAAAAAGCTCAATTTCTAAAAAAAAAAAATAATAATAATTTTAGCAAAAATAAAAATTTTTATTTAAATAATTTATAATTAAAAATTAATGAACTATGAAATATTTGGTTAAAATAAAATATAATTAAAAAAATAACAAAGATTTTTCAAACCAAATATTCAGTATAATCAAATATTTCTGTGACCTTATAATTTTTTAAACAAAACATTTTGTTTAATTAAACTATAATTTTTTATAATAGTTGTATTTGTTTAAATAATTTTTTCTTTTCTAAGTTTAAAATTTTAAATAATTTTTCTTATTAAAAATATTAAAAATTATTTATTTAAAAAATGAGATTTTTGTTCATTTGGTTTCCGTTTGTCCAGAAACTAACTTACCTTGGAAATATTTTCCAAAAGAAAATTTATTTTTTTTGAAAAATATATATTTTTAAGTGACTTATTTTCACTGTCTAGTTGCATAATTGAAAATTAGCTAAAAATATCAAAATTTTTAACTCATAAGACCATAAAAATATTAAAAATAATAGAAAATTTGCATTTTAAAAATTTTGTTGTTAAATATAAGAAGAATGCAACAAAAAAAGTAAATTATGAAATTCGCCAATAACCGATAGTGGTGGCTAGTGATGATGGCTGGTAGTAAATGATTGCTGATAGTAGTGACTACCAATGATTAATAAATTAAAAAAAAAGTGAATTTATAAGATTATAATAAGTTTGTTAATATTCAGAAAATATTTTATTTTCTTGAGAATGAAAAGTCATTTTCCTTAAAAATGACTTAATTTTCCTTTAACTAGAAAAATATTTTCTCGTTGACTTATTTTTCTAAATGTCTAAACAATAGAAAATTGTGAAAAATACTTTACTGCAAGTTATTTTATAGAAATAAATGGAGTCTTAGTGCAACTTTAAGTGTAAGGTATACAAAAAATTGATTGTTAAGCAAATTGTACATTGTTTTTAAGTTTATGGTTCAAATTGAGTCTTATTCCTAATTTAATCTAACGACCTAAATTTAATTTTGGATAGAGGCGAATTTGACCACTCAACTTGTTTATTTGGATAAATAAAATCATAATTGACATGTTAAGCCAATTTAACCCATAAACTTAATTAAAATGATTAAAAAGATTAAATTTAATTTTTTAAGTCAATTTAGTCCCTAAACTTGTTTTGACTTTTACAAATTAATGAATTGATTCAATTTGACAAGATTTGACTTTTATCATTTTTTTATTCTATGGTATAAATATCCAAATCAAACTTTCCCAACACTTTGTATGGAAGTTTAAAATGCATAAAAATATCATTTCGTTTAATACAATAATTTTATCAAACGTATAATATATTTTAATTTGTTTAACATGAGAAATGTTTGAATTTCATATACAATAATACAATAATAAAGGTCAATTTTAAAATGTTCAATTTAATACATATTTATAAACTCAAAATCATCGATCAAGATAAAAAAGATACAATATACTTCATGTATCATTTTCTTTTATATTATATTTAATTAATTTTTTAATAAATTATACAATCAAGTCCGATCTTTTCATTTTAATCAAATTTAAGGGTTAAATTGACCTAAAATGTTAGATATGGTGTCTGTTCACGGGGTCATTTGGTGAAGCATATAGCATGGTAATTTCCTCCGGCAGGTTGCTTTAAGTTGAACATTAATAGGGTTTCTAATGGAAATCACAGACCAATTGGTAGTGGTAGAGTTATCAGAGACTTCAGAGGCAATTGATTTGTGGGTTTGTTATTCATTTGGGGTTTTGCACTTCTATTGTGGTGGAACTGTATGTCTTTTTCATGGTCTTTGTGTTGCTTGGGATTTAGGATGCATAAACTTGTTGATTAAAATGGATACGCATATGGTTATTGACCTTGTTTTAAAATGGTACTGTCTGAATAGATGCTTTGTTAATATGCTTCCCTTAATTCAGGCTTTTTTAACCAGAGATTGACAAGTTTCTTTGGGCTATTGTTGTCGGGAGGCGAATCGAGTGGCAGATGGCTTGGTGAATCTAGCTATTGTAGTGCCTGATAGACATAGTCTTCTTTACCAACCCCCTGCTCTAATTTCATGACCTAGATTGGTTTCCATGTAGTCCTCTTCGCTTTCTTCACGGGTTTCATCCCTTTCTCAGTATCTAAAAAAATGGAAGTTATTTTCTTTAAAAAATGACTTACTTTTTCTTTAATCAGAAATATATTTCTCGTTAATTTATTTTTCTTATTTTTTTTGAACATTTCAAACAATGAGAAATCGTATAAAATATTTTTTTACAAATTATTATGCGGAAATAAACGGATCCTTGTAACGCAAAAAATTTCATGTCCACAAAGTCATTTTGAGACTTCATTTTTGCAGTTCAGATTAAAATTTTTTAGTTTGGTGCAAATTATCATATGGTTAAAATAATAAAAAACTTAAAAAAATTAAAAAATTCAAGTTGGATCACTCATGATATTGGATTTTTCTTTTAAAATATTAATTCAAAATTCAAGATATTTTTCATTAATTCAAATCGCATTAGGTGGAATTATTCTTAATATCATAATTCAATGTATTCGAGTCACTTCAAATATAATACAAATTTATGCGAATCACGAGTGAGTTTAAATTGAGTTTTTTGCTTCGTTTGGTATAAATGAATTCAAAATATGGAATTCATTAAATTTTAGTAGAATTCATTTGTGAATGAATTATTCATGTTTGGTATGATTAATTTAAATGAATGAAATTTATTCCATGTTTGGTATGATTAATTTAAAAACATGTAATTCAGATTGAAATTCCATATAATCATGCATGAAAACAAATTTAGTATTGAAAATCAATTTGTTTTTGTTTCCCTAAAATATCCTTGAAATAGTAATTTCGCAAAAAATAAATAATAAATACCAATTATATTATTTAGGTATATAATTTTTTTATATTTTTTATTAAAATTAAATATATAAATAAACAATATTAATAAAATTATTGCAATTTTAATTTAGTGATAAATTGATATTTAAAACTTGAATCTCTCCTCATCGATAAGTAAAAAATGTATTGCATTTAATTTAGTGATAAATGGATATTTAACTTGAATCTCTCTCATCGATAGTAAAAAAATGCTAAAAAATATTAAAATAAAAGATGAAAGTTATTAAAATATAAACACAATAATAACAAATTCTAAAAAAAATAAAATTTTTAAAAGGTTTTGGTCAAGTTTGATA